GACAAAGCTCATACCCTCAGGGAATGGCCAGGGCACCCATTACAAGTCTCTGACCCTCAGAGAGATAGAGGGGACAGGCCAATAAAAGGGGGTAGCTTAGGTAGTAGCCCCCGGGGTAGCGGGCTGGGATCGCCGTGGGGGTTCTGGTGCCGCAGATCCGGGAGCCGTTTGCGAAGGGGGGGGTTTCGACTTACTCCTCCGCCCCCTCCCTCCACCCCTCTTCTTCCTGCCCCCACCTTTACCCTTCTTCTTATTCTTACCCACGCCCTCCTTCGCCTTCCCGCCCTTTTTCTTACCTCCGCCTCGTTTTTTTCTGCCTGCACAAGTTTGTAGCCCACCACCGTGCCTGATCCCGAGCCCGACCCTCGACGTGCCCGAGACTTTTCGTCCCTCCCGACCCTCGGTAACCGCGGCCAGCTGGTCGGAGGAGATCACTCGTCCGCCTGTCTCGTCCCGATCCCCATCGTCAGATTCTGAGTCGTAATAGGCGGCATTGGAATCCTCTACAAAGTGCAGCTCACCCTGACAAGGCTCTGCGGGTCTGGAGTGCCGCGATCCCGATGCTGACCTGGAAAGACGAAACATGCCGTGAACTCTCACCATGGCCGCCACCATCGGGACAGAAGCAGATCTGGACAGGCAGCCAACCAGCCAGCCAGCCACTCTGAAACGAGAGAGACGACGACGGATGACTGTCACTTTATAGCTGATTAAGCTGACGAGCTGATGAGCAAGCGTAGTCGAATCTGTTGGAATCAATCGATGTCCTGTACCAGGCCAACGACGAGGATTGCTGCTTGACTGAAGGTGTTAATAAACTCAACGAACAGTCAAAGATTGCTTTTGATGACGTGTCAGAGATATGACGAAGTTCAAGAAGTAATTACACTTTGCATGTGCACTGATGCGCCGCCGATCGGGCGCTAGCAAGCTCGCAGCAACGGTAAGGATCTGATTCAGTCCTACGTGGCACTGCTCTAATGGCTGGGATAATCGACGGTCGACAGCTGGCAGCACGGATGCTCGTCAGAGATGGATTCTAGTATCTCGATACTTAACTGTGCGCTTTGGTTGGTCATCATCCCGATGTGCCCGTAACGGCAATCATCGATTCCATATATTCCCGCCAGAATGGCCTCCGCTATTTTTCCCGCGCCCTTCAGCTTCCTTGTACAAGCGGATACCTTCTTCTTCGTTCTCCTACTGCTCACTCGAGGGCGGAGAACATTCTTCTTCCTGCCTGTAGACAGCCTGGGTCCGCTCTTGCTAGGCAGAGAAACCTCGCTCTCTCCTGCTCATCCTGCTGCTGCTCCTCTCCCCCTCCTCCTCCTCCTCCTACTACTACTGCTGCTGTTGCTGCTGCTCTCCTCCTTTCTCCTTTTCCTCCTCGTACTCCTCCTTGCTGTGCTCTCTGCCTCTTCCTCCTTCCAGTCGTTCTCGTCCTTCTCTGTGCTGTGCAGCTCTTCAGCCTCAACCGACCGCAAGGGATTGATTGACCACAGTCAAATCATGCATGCAAAACTGAAAGAACGCTCGCCCCAGTGGAATCGAACTCGCGACGTTCCCATGCAAAAAAGAACGGGCTGTGCTCTCTGCCTCTTCCTCCTTCCAGTCGTTCTCGTCCTTCTCTGTGCTGTGCAGCTCTTCAGCTCTTCAACCGACCGCAAGGGATTGATTGACCTCAGTCAAATCATGCATGCGAAACTGAAAGAAAGCTCGCCCCAGTGGAACCGAACTCGCGACGTTCCCATGCAAAAAAAACGGTCACTTAAACAACGACCGCAGACGGCCAAGTCATGGTTCTGGCTTCTGGTTTTCTCCTCTGGCGTTTAGTACAAGGCCGCCTTCGTCAGCCTCCTGCTTCGGCTGCGTTTTTTGTTGTTGTCATCAGCTTGCTCCCCTTCAACTCTACCCTTCTCCAGTCTGGACGGGCAAAGCGCGGCTAAGGGCATAATCAGACCAGTAGACTTTTTCTACTAAGCTCTGGACGTGATTGCAGTCAGATGCATCCAGCTCTGGCCTTAATTGCCGTCAGATGCCTTCAGCTAGAACTCTAGTATGACTATGCCCCTAAGCCAGCGATCGCCAGCTTCAGACAAAATTAATGTGGTTGATGGACTTTCCTCGAAGACTGCGGACAGCTGCGGACGCAGTTGCAAACGCTCTCGTGCTCGCGGCTATCTCCTCGTGGCCCTGTTGCGCTCTTATCCCCGCCAACTTAGACGAGACACGTGCCATTGCTTGTCCCGTTTGCTGCTGCCAGCAGGCGCGCCGAAGTTCTCTTCTGGCGTGTTTGCTGGCGCGGTCTGCGGCACACGGCATCCCAACGACGCCTGCCGTTCCGTGGCGCTGACTCGATTCAACGGCCTCGGAAAGCGAGTCAAGCTATTTTTAGAACATGATTTCGATTTCACAGTGAGACCGAACTGCCTTATCCACTACAGTATGGGGCTCGCTGCACTACTCTCCAAATGTGCAAAATGAGACTGAATCCACCGCTAGAACATGGAAAGATAAATTGCCATCTTTTTTGTCTTCTGTGCATCTGGAGAGTAGTGCAGCGAGGCCCTATATCCACTGTTAGGGCCTCGCCACACCACTCTTGAAACTGCATTTTCAAGAGTTGGACGCGTCGCCACACAGCCACTTGAGAGTTGTAGCCCGAAAACTCTTTCGAGAGTTGTCAGAACCTCTTTTCAAGAGTAGCTCTCGAAACTCCGAAACGCCCAGCCTGCAGCACCGCTCTTTTCAAGCGTCCTCCCGAGGGCACTCGAAGGGCTCTTGGTTTTCGAGACGAAAAAAACAAAGCTGTACAACTGTCTTTTTTCATTCTTTGTCCAACACCATCGCCGGGCACTCGAAGGGCTCTTGGTTTTCGAGGCGGAAAAAACAAAGCTGTACTACTGTCTTTTTTCATTCTTTGTCCAACACCATCGCCCTTTTGAGAGTGCTGTGTGGCGAGGGGCCCGAAACTCTCGAAAACCCAACTCTTGAGAACGTCTGACAGCTCTTGAAAAATTTCCCCGTTTCAAGAGTGGTGTGGTGAGGCCCTTATCCAGTGTGCCGAATAGGTCAGAGGCACAACAACGACGAAAATTAAAAGGGGCTCCGGCCTTTAAACTTTTACATATCATCCTTTGAACTGACCTGCAATTCGCAGCCCGTCAGGGTTGCGTTTTCCCCCCCTGAGATTTTCAACGTCGGTGGTCGTCGGAAGGGTGGGCATTTTGAGGTTTTGGGGCTTTCAAGGGCCAAGAACACGAAGGACCGGTAGCTCCCCGTAGGAGGCCGAGGAGGCCGTGGTCCTTAAGCCTTTTCCGAAAATTGAAACGGTGCAGATACACTCTTCTCGAATAGCAGATTTCCTCGAGTAGAAAACGTACACCTTGTATTTGAACACAACATGTACCCTTTCTATTCAGATTTCCAAAAGAAAAAACTCTTGTATTCCAATACAATTACTTTTTTTTTGGAGGTCAGCGCCTGCCCTTGTGCTCCCCGCTACTGACATGCTGCATGCTGCAGGTCTCTCTCTCTCTCTCTCTCTCTCTCTCTCTCTCTCTCTCTCTCTCTCTCTCTCTCTCTCTCTCTCTCTCTCT